CTCCCCCGGTAAAAATTGACAGCAGAATCTGTGTTCCAAAATACCATGGACCTAAAGCCGGCTGTAAGATTTTCAATAGCGTCTATAGCCGGATGCACAATTTCTTATAGCCTTTCATAGCCTTTTATAGCCTTTTATAGCCGACGGCGATTAAGCAACGTTCAGCCAGGCGATAAAGTGTATGCTAAATGTTACTAATAACGGATGCTAGGACTTATTGAGTTTTTGGACTACCGCTCTATTTTGGGGCCGTAGTATCTGGATTTATTTTGCGCGGAAAGCTGCGTACTTTTGAAGGATGCCTGCCATTCCTAATATGTTGGAGCGCCTTTAATTTCGTATGATACTGTGCAATACCTCTGGTGTGAAATAGTTGCTTCAAGCGCCGTGGCACGCTGCGGCGCGGCGGGTGGGCAGCCAGCGCGAAAAGCGCATTAGCGCCTACAAACCTAACAGGGATACTTCAAGCATTGCGCAATGCGTGAAGTATCCCTGTTAGGTTTGTAGGCGCTAGTGCGAGCTTAACTCTGGCAGCACGCCGCTCTGCTCTGTGTTAGGTTCCAATATATAATCTCGCGGAGTCAGCGTTTTTCAACCCATGATTTTAAAATGTTTGTACATCCTGTATGGATTATTCTCATTTTAATTGATGAAAAAAAATATGTATTAAAGGAAAATATGATGTGTGTTTGGTAAATATTATGGTGGTTCGGTATCAAACTTAATGATTTCCAAGGCGCACGAATTTCTACACAATTTCTTATAGCCTTTTATAGCCGATGGCGATAAAGTGTAAAGCCCGGCAATAGGAGCTATAGCCCGGCTGTATACTTTTTTTATAGCTTCGTATAGCCCAGCTATATGATTTCCTCCGCTTCCTACAGCCAGCTATACGAGTTTCTATTGCCTTCTTTAGCCGGCTATAAGAATTCCTATGGTATTTTGAAACGCAGCTCCTATCGCCAATTTTTTACCAGGGCCGTGGTCCCCGTTCCATGGAATCCCTCAATGGCTAGCTGAGAGTGCATACCTATACCCCCCCCCCCCCCGGAGTGGCATAGATTGCAATAAATTGCACTTTCATGGTAAAATTATTGCTATTGTATCGGAGTGATGTGTGCGTTGTCTATTCTCTAATTGAAGGGGCTATCCTCTGATTGAAATATTGCAATAAAATTGAAGTAGGTCATTTTTTTTGCATTGCATTGCAAAACGCTCGAATTTCTTATACATGAAACCCATCAATTTACTGACTGTTTAAAATCGGCATTCATGAACCACATTATGTTAAAATTTTCAATTTCACGGTAAAAAAATTGTAATTCCATTGCTTAAATTGCAGAGTTCTTTCGATATTTTCGTTACAGTGTGCTGCTGGGGCTATTGACATTTATATAAGTCTCAATTCCCGATTAAAAATTCGTGAGATAGTGTTGATTACGTGGATAAATCCAAGTACGTATGCCTGGAATTTGATACCCAAGCACCAATGATCATTTCTGGCTCCGCGTGAACATCGGGATTCCCCGTCCAAAATTGCGAGCCATACCTACGTATGATAGGTACTTTTTTCTGCATGGGAAACCCCCTCGGCATGAAACAAAGCCCTTTTTCTCGACTGGCTTTTTTATTTATAAACGTTGAATTCGCCAGTATTATAATAATACCTAATGCAATTACTCCCGAGCATTCCGGCTTCCTTTATGAAAATTCATGGCAGACGCGCGTTACGCCCCCCCCCCCCCATGAGGTTTCTCCAATGCCAAAACTAACGCTGAAATACTAAACACACTAAAAAAATCCATCGATTGTCCTCACGAAATTGGGCATATTTCAAAAGACCTTTTTGTTACCTTGGGCTTCTATCACTTGAAATAGGTATCACTGTAAGTGCGTATTGCTCAAGGTTTGGCTGGAGTCTAATTATTTCACACCCCATAACTGATATTTAAAGGGCAAATGATACCTGTATAGGTTTTAGAGGCAGTTTCATAAATGCAGTAACGCTAAAATTAGGAACGTCATCATTCCTTTTCCCCTCTGCCACAAACCCGTTTCGCAGGTCTGTGCTCCCTTGAAGAAGTATGCCGCGCATTGGTGAAGACCCCTCTTTTCAAGTAGAAAACGGAAATTGCCGATATTTTTCACCAAAACTTTCGACAAGTATTTAAGAAATCGGCGCTTCACACCGATTTTTTCTTGCCGTCATGGGGCGCAAGACCCCCTTTTCCCTTTCCACGAATTTCCCTTTCCGCGCAAGCTCAGGAAACCCCCCCCCCCCCCCCCCTGCTTGGAAACGACGTTTTTTTGTCAGCCTCTTTGCAAAACAAGTTGCGCAAGTTTAAAACTTCATCAATAGAAAAAAAAAAAAAACAAACAAACTATAATGAATAAAATTTCTGGGAGCAGGAACATATTGCTGCAAATTTTATCATCGTATTGGGAAAGAAACGGAGGGGAGTGTAATAGAGTGTAAATTCACGTGATCCCTTAGGATCCCTTCTCCCTTTAAGTCCTACGGTGTGAGGTAAAAGTTTGAATTTTAGCATGCTCCCGGTACATACAATTTCTGAAACTTCAAAAAATTAGAATTAAAAATGATAGATTTCGGGGGGGGGGGGGGGTGTTCTTTTGATAAGAACTAAATTATATGGGACGGGTGGAAGAGGAGAGGGTGGGGGTGCGTGGGGGTTCCCCAGAACCTGATATTATTCCCATTAACCTCCGATGGGGACCCCGACACTGACCATGAAAGTTCCTAGAGCGGATACTGACCTAGGCAGACGATCGCCAGCAGCAGCTGCATGAAGCTACTCTTCATCATAGCACTGGTACTGAAAAATCACTAAAAAAATAAAAACTAAACGCACTAATCACAAGTGAATGGAAGAAAGAGCAGATGGTCTGGATTTCGAACGCATCACGGGGAGGAGAGGCTGGAAGGTGTGATGGCCGGCATGGCCGGCAGGTTCGCGAACACTGGGAAAAGTTGAGAGGAGACTCGGATGGTCGGAGTTGGGTGGGATCCCAAACCAGTCCGCGACACCGCGAGCGTGTGACTCGGTCACATGGAGGCATGGAGCGAAATTCCCAATCCGCGGATGACGCGCGACGCGATGTTGATGGAAGCGCCTTGAGAATTTCAGCGGCTACCACACCGACAACCCACCGTGAATGATCGATTATCGATATTTCTCCATTTGAAGCAATGGTAAAGAATCGATTGTGAAGGTGTTCGTTGTGAGCACCCTGTTTATCGATCATTTTCCATAGGTTTAAACGGCAGAAGAATCGATAGATCGCAAAGCACGCAACGCCGCTGCCACGACCCGACCAGTCTCGTCCGACAACATTTCCGACCGTGACCTCCCGCGACCGCTGATAAGTCGTAGATACCGGGGTTGACATCAGACTTGGCCGACCGACTGCCAATCAGCGTCCGAGTTTGAGGAGGAAATGAAAATGAAAGATTGAAAATTTCTGTAAAATCAGGGGTGCAAAGAGTTTGAGGCCTTTCCTCGCATTTGGACTGCATTTCGCGATAAGGAAGTGCGATTGAGGGGCTTGGAGGACAAGGCGCATAAGTGCAGTTTTTGGAAAAATTGAGATATCAATGATTTCGAGTGAAACTGGTCTCAATGCATATTCTGTGAAAAATTCGCTCCCAAATTCTACTTTTTAAGCACTTAAAAGTCAGTTTGAACCTTCTTTCCGCCATAAGGCTCCATGTAATTTTGAAACTTTAAACATGTATTTCTCGAAATATCAAAAACTGCACTAAGTAATGCGCCTTGTCCTCCGAGCCCCTCAATTTCTGGCTCTTACATAAAAACACCTATATCTGCATAAGGAGCATAAAGGCACATGTGTTGTTTCTAAACTGAGGCAAAAATTTTAGTTCCTGATAGCAAAATGTTGTCCATTTCGTCGTTATCCTCACGACGAAGAACGTAATTGCATCGCAATGTTGCCAAATTTCCCGTCACAAATTGCAGTTTTCCCGAAAAAATTTTAGGCTTTCCTGTCTGAATATTTCTCGATTTTTTTTTTTTTTTTGATCGTACTTATACAAAAATCAGAACAAAATGGGAAAAAATTTTACAGGTATAATATGGAAAAAAATGGAAGTGTTTAAACAATTTTGCAACCTTGGAATGGAGTGACGTTCTTACGTCCAAAAAACGACGATTTAACTGACCTAACCCCATTTTTGACCAAGCTTCATGACTACGTCCTCCTGAAGGAAAAAAGAAAGAAACAAAATAAAAAAAAATTTCCTCCAGAAAACATAGTTGGGCCTTTCCACCGTATAAACGCCGAAAAAACGAAAACTTCGAAAAAATCTGACAGGGTTCCCCCATTTGTTCATTCTCGCGGGGGTTCCCCCGATTCACGCGGCCGGAACTCCGCCGAACCAATCTGGAAGCTAAACCCCCGTGTGAAACATGGACAATTCAGCAGCTATGTCCCTTCTACCTACCTACGTTATATTTCATATGGTGCTGTCGTTTACAACGGCAAATTTGAGCAGAATAGGAACTGAACCCCTGGCCACTTCGCGGCCCACCTGGTGAGTTAAGTGATAGTACAGGCAAAATCTGGAGTATATAAATAGGTACATCAACAATTAGGCAAAAATCGGAATTGTGAGTCACAATTGAAGCCTCTGTAGGATGAAGGAGGTTAAAAACATGTTCAGGAAGAAAAGAGAAAAAATAGTTGTGGATGATTTAGAATTAGTAACTTCGTCCAGTTAGCCGAAGAAAAAAAAAGAAAAAAACTTGACGATGACAGCTTAATTTTCTTTCAATTTAAAAAAAAATGAATTCAAGAAAATGTAATCTTAACTCAAACTGCACGGGGTGGGAAGTTACGTCACATGCAGACAATATCTAATCCCCTCCAATTACACTCCCCGATGATTTTGCGTACACTTTTAAGTACCTATCAACACATGGCTGTGGAGTCTAAAATTTAATTGAATGTCACCGTTTTTTTGGGCATATTTTCAAGGAGTTCGCTCCAAAATTTTACAGAAACCCCGTTTGCCCCTTAAAGTTGGATGATTTTATTTCATGACACACTCAAGGGCTGGAATATTTGGTGCGCAGTTTCAGTTTCTAAAACATATATTTAAAAATCTGGAAGTGGTAGGCACAACTTTTTGTATTTTATTTCCAACTTTCCTCAAAATTTTAAAAACTGTTCTTTTCACTTCCTCAATGATGATGATGTTATACTATAATAGACATAATAACTGATGCACCATTTGATGCTATCAGTTGCACAATTTCTACTCCACTAACTAAGGACACCTGTCTTTAAAAATCTAAAAATTCGTCAGTGGGGAACTAGGAAATCTGCTTTTTACCTGAGTTGATAAGTTTCAATATCCTAGATGAGAAAAGACTGTATTCACTAGTGGTATAAAGTTCGAGCTTCTTCTATCATGAGCATTGAAGATAAAAAACAATGCATTTGTAAAAATAAAATTATTTTAATGGAGTCACACACTTGTTTTCTTTGATTGATTCAAACACGTTTAGTATTTACAATGCATATTTACAAACTTTATACACTTATATAACAAGTATTCAATTAATGAGAGTAGCTTCTGAAAGATTTCCAACAGTCTCACAAAAGGAAAATGTAAAGACTGAGAAGGTTTTCCTGTACTGTCACACTATTATAAAATATTTTCAAATTATAATTATGATTTTTGAGCTTTATCTTCAATGTTGATGTGTACGAAGGAAGCCATTTGGTTGACATTTTCGACGATATGAACAGGCGGTGGTGGAGGAGCAGTAATACTCCGCTTAGTACCATACCTTTCTGATGTGCAAAGGTGCAACTGGACAGGTCTCTGCGTCAGCTAGAATAGTTTGAAAAAAACAAACAAGGATACGTTACGCCTCTGGATATGAAGTTTGGTTCGTAGAGCTAATGAACCGAGAAAAATTACGACCCCTTTGAACTTTATATTTGATCAACAGCTTTCTTCGTAAGGTGAGAAGTAAGAGTCAAGGGCTTGACTTTTAGGGTGATTTGAATATCAACCGGAATTAGGGGAAGCAAAAACTGAACACCTTAAAGGCAATGAGACTCACTAATAGATGATCTACATTGCAATAATAGTTTCAAACACCCTTTCCAGCTGATCCTTCTCATTAGTTGATAAAACGATATTGGTCGATTGTTTTATGAAGCAAAATGATCCGTGAAAGAGAAATACTCAAATAGAGGAGCTACGTTGGGTGTTATGAAAATAGCGCTTCCTGTTTTTTGTGTGAACAGTAAACCGTAAAAGCTATGAACATGCGATTTACACGAGGCTCTAAATTGAATCTTAGGCTTTAAAACAAGACCTTGCGCAAGTCTCCAACATAAAAATTGTCAAAATAACACCATTTTAGAAAGGGCGTGTGGAACAGGACCCCAGCATTTTTCCAGAAATTTAAGCAGCAGTTTTTCATGATCAATAAGCTTAAAGCAGAGAATGTAAAACACAAAAACTTTTTCCAGAAAAAGATTGCAATGAGATGTAATCAGTTACGGAGAGCGCATAAGGAGCAATTACAAGTGACACTGGAAAAAAGTTGCCATGAAAACCGATGACAGAATCTCATGTGATAATGAAGTGACCGATAGTGACCGGTTATTCGGTGAATGTCGCTTGCAGGGAGATGAGAGACGTCATTAAAGATACTTGCAGCTTTTCCTCAAAGTCTCAGCATTCATCATAAACATGAGAAATGCCTGCGTGACTGCAACCTTTGGTCCAACGGACTGAGCTTTTTCACTATGATGTGAGATTCTATCATCAGTTTTCAAGGCAACTTTTCTAAAGCTTTTTCACTTGCCCCTTAAACTCACTCTGTTGCCAATTTCATTTTGTTGCATTCTTCTGGCCATAGGAGTTTTGATTTTTTACATTCTACATTTTCAGATTTTTCATTAAAGACGTCCTAGAAAAGCCCCTGGAAAGGTCCTTATTTAGATGTCATACTGCTAGCATACCAGGGTGTCTTGTACCATCCTTAAGCGTCTAAGAACTTTTCAGGTATTTAGTTCCGACCTTTCAGAAAAAAAAATTATGAGTCTTCCTTTGATGAAAAATTAAGTGACTTGGAGTTTTTCATGGTCAACTAAACTCTTCTACCAAACTGTCATCAGATGGCTACTACGTCAGACATCATTCCCATCTTTTATTTTCACGCAACAGAGTAGCTGCTTGCTTGAATGCTTAATACATCACAGGACAACTGATAGTACAAAACATTTTAGATCATGCGTCTGTTTTACCCACTTATGCAGTTCTTTCCAGTTCTTTTCAGCTCTTTTCCAAACTTTCACACTTTTCTCATACTTTGCAGACGTTCAGACACCCTGATAAACAAATTGGCTTCTATCAAGACATGCAGAACTAGAGAGTGATGAAACAGACATTTATGCTTTCTTACCTGATGAAAAGCAGGCATGAGTTCAAAGCAATTACTAAATAGTGAAACTCTGGCAAAAATATACAATCCCAGTCGAGCTCGGGACATCGCCACAACCAGACGACGCACATCACGCAAATGACCTACAGCTTTTGTACGCACCAAGGACAAAATGATATAGTCATTTTGTTGACCTTGATACTTATCTACAGTGGTAACCTGTGGACAGAAATTATTCAAGTTAAATTATATTTGGATTTATATACACATTGTTTGTATCGATAAGTGACCAAGTGAAGAAAAAAACACTAAGAAGTGGCCCGAAACCTGAATGTACTACCTGAAAGAGTACACCTGTACCTGCACTTCTTATCACTGACTTTTTGTTTTGATAGTATATAATTAGGACAAACGAAGTCATTCCTAATCCCTCCCACCCTATTACCAATGTTACTATATTTGGGCTTAAGATTAATATCACTATAGAGGCCATAAATATAATTAAAATTTTTAAGAATATTACCTTCTTTTTCTCGATGTAGAACTGGCTATAAATTAAAATTCTAGTTGTTACTATTATTACTATAAGTAATGAATGAGACTACCTGTACTGTGTACTACCTGTGTACGTGGATGAGAGATGTTCAGCAGCGACGGTAGATGGCGCGAGGATCACACTTTTATGTCATGCCTCGGGTCATATTCATGACAGCGTTTTAATGCCGTCTTGGATTTTGCGGCATGTTAGGTTGGGTTCACTGCCGAGTGTGATCTACTGATGAGGTCTAAAAAGGCCCAAACCGGTATAGATCTCTCAACGTGACTCCAACTTAATATTCCATTGCAAACTGCCTGAGCTGAACACTTTCCCTCCTCAGTTTCGTACTGGTGCGCATTAGAGTTCAAAAAATTATTTTTAACTCTAATTTTAATTTTTGGAACTTCTTGGCTTTGATTTCCCCACGAAATGGTGTGGACCCAGCACCATTTCTCCACATAAATGACCAAGTAGAACGGATACACACAGAGTGCCACATTAGGGCACCCAAACTTCTTCCTCAGTGCTCCTGCGGACTTTCTAATTTACACTGCCATTGGCTACTCAATCTTAATACATAATTATTTTTTTGTTCTGTGATATATTCTGAGCACCAAGCAGCTGTAAGACATATCAACAGCGTAAGTCCGCAATCACATATCTTGTTAGCGGTGTCTGAAAATCTCCACCTCTATGTTATTTCTTTAAAGGAGAACGAATTGACATCATTCCTTCAAGTTTATGCAGAATTTTTTTTTGCACAGCGAACAAAAATCACGGCAGTCTTAAAGAATTGCCATTGAGTAGTTTTCCGTTTAAAAAATAGTGTGTGACGGGCAGTCTGCGATGTTGCAAACTGAGTTGTGTAATTGCCAGCGTACACCGTCAGTATATGATATTTTTCCTGACAGATTTTTCTATTTTGCATGAAGTTAGAGGCCACGCTAAGTAAGTTTACGCACTTTTAGACTGCAACAGGTCCGCTTTCTTGCTTCTTGCATTCACTTTCCATGCGAAAATGACGTCAGACAATATTCTGTTCCCATCTAAAAGTGCATAAACTTATTTGGCGTGGACTCTGTCCCATTTCTAATTCTTCTATTGCTGTTGTTTTCACTAAAAATTAATGAAATAAGGATTCAAGAAAGGAGCAACCGAAAATGAAAAAAGAGATAAAAATTTACGAAACTCAAACTTTCTTCACTAGAGTATTTGTCCAGATGATTTTCCCGAAGGTCCACTGCCCTTTTTCTTCAGCGGCGATGATGCGACAAAGAGATAGGGCAGCCGACCCTCCGAATCGTTGTACGGACAAATAAATAAGTAAGGAAAGATTGGGTTTTTAAATTTTAGCGATTTGATTCTTAATTTAAGTGTGCTTTCCTTGTTCTTTAGCCTTATTTTCTTTATTATAAAACTTTACCTTATGTGGTTTTCCGATCATGGCATTGTTCGCACAGCGTAAATTGATGACGTCTCGGATCAAATGCTTCTGTCCATTGTATGTTGTCAAGATTGATATTTTTTCAGCTGGATACCCAATTAGCCTCATATACATAAAAGTAGCGACACAATATTCGGCCTCAGCAAGGTTCTAGAAAATACCAGACATTATTGGAGCAATTAATACAATGATCAAAAAGAATTAAATCAGTCAGAATATTGCTTAACATTTATTTTAAAAACCTGTCAGAGAGCTGACGAGATTTTTAATTCTTAAAGAGAAGCATTCAGAAGCAAATGCAAAATAATGATTAACCTCTAAAAACTGTCGAATTTTTTTTCATCAATTTTCCTGTTTCACGAAATGCACTAATTTTAAGAGGTGCTTTTAAAGAATGATCATGAACTTTGGAAGAAATAATAGAGAATTTTTTCTTTTTTTATTCTTATGTGAGGAATTGACTTTCTGAGATGTTAGATGAAATCCAAGCCTTAGACAACTCACCTGGAAGAAATATGGACTTGGTTCAGATTCTCCAACACCATTTAGGTCTTCCACATTGATGAGCTGGAAATCAAAACAAAAACCAGCATTTGCTGCACGGTATTCAGGACGTGCTTCGATATGTGCCAGATTCCCAAGCGTTTTGTACCGCCAGTTGTACAGATTGCAAATGCTGGAAATAAAACAAGTAAAAATAACATAAATTAAATTATGACCATTTTAAAAGGGGAAAAAACACAAAATATAAAATATATTATAGTTATATATATAGTTAGTAATATATTATAGTAGTATATAGCATTAGTCTTTGATGCCTACTCGCCAATAAATCATTTCAAACTTCATAAAAAATTCATGCAAACCGAAAATTCCCACAACTAAATCACAATAATGAGAACGCTTCGTTGTCATTTTTTTCTTCCGGCCTTTTGAAAATAGTTGTTGAAGATAGAGACTGTTCAAATACAACAATTCAAGATTCTTCATGCAAGTTCACAAAAAAAAGAAATACCTTGAGCGGGCACGACCCTGTGCATCAAGGTCTATTGTTGGAACACCTAAACGAACGAGTCTTGTGAACAGAGACTGCTCCATGTTGCTGTACTTCTGGAAGGCCATGTTTTTGATGACAGGCGGAAGCTGGTGGTGGTCTCCTATCATGATCCATCGTTTAAGTCTGTTGTATCCATCCTCTGGATTTTGAAGCAACAGAGGGATGAAAGTTTCGATCTCAAGGATTTGTGCAGATTCTTCCATCAGAATGTTGTCATACTTGAAACCTGAAGAATGGGAAAAGTTTATGATTACATGATCAGAAGAGTGATCGAGTGGAGTGTCTTTGAAGTTTCAACTGTTAGAGTGCCCCTTCCTTATGTTTCCGCAGTTATTTTTTTAACATCGGAACAAAATATATTAAAGATCAGTTATGACTGTATTAAAGAAACCAATTGAGATTTTCTGTAAACAATAAAATCATTAGTTCTGCAATGATCCAATCGTCCTACAGACATATTTATATGAAGCCTATGTTTACAAAACTTAAAATTTGTGACATAAATATTACTTCCTCTATAATTAAAATCTTCAATGAGCTTCTGTTCCCTCTCAAGGACTTGTTTAGAAACAATTAGATAGGTAAACTCAAGTCTGACATTCCTAGACTTCTGATTGGCAAGAGATTACTTGCTGTAGAGGAAATAATTGATGCTTTACTAAAAACTGTATACGCCTGGTTTTATAATCTGAGCAGTGGTGAGGCATGAATGATCGATTATCGATATTTCCCCATTTGAAGCTATGGTGAAGAATTGATTATTAAGATGTTGGTTGCGAAAACCCTGTTTATCGATCCTTTTCCAACGATTTAAATGGCGGATCAATCAATAAATCACAAAGCACGCCACGCCACTGAATAAGATTGCTTCATCATACATTTTAACTCATTTTATGAGATTGCTACCGATTGCTTCATTCTTTTGTAATTCATTAATTTCAACGACCTGTATTTTGACATGTACAAAAACCTTGGATGAAGGAAAGTACATTTGTTAAAAAAAATGAAAATGAAAAAAAGCTCCTCTTTCAGATACTGTTTTGGTTAGGTCCGTACCATATTCCGTTGACTTCAACGTCTCTGCAACAGTAACTAAAAAAGGTATTTTGATACATAACAACATTAATGACATCGAAGAAATGCTCAGAATATTATGATAAAAACTTACCCATTTTCACAAGTTCCTGTCTTTTCAATGCTGCATGGGTACATGTCATTGCTATAATCTTGGCTTCTTTGACAAGTAAGTATTTACTCCGATCTAAACCACTTCTAAGCAGTTCAAAGGCTCTAAATTCGTCTAACTGTTGGAATATCTTCTCTATGTACCTAAAACAACCTTCAGCAATTTCTAAATCCTCTTCAACGCTGCGGCCTTTGAATAATGGTTTGGGCGCATTGTCAAAGAAGCAGTGGAATGGAAATTCATCGCTAATGAGTTTCAATGGAACCGGCTGAAACACAAAAACCAACAAATAAATATGCTGACAAAAAATTAACTCATCAAAATCACTGAAAAAAAACTGCTGACATTATCTGCAGCTCCACATTTAAAGAGCCATGAAGAGATTCATTAAAAATCTGCGGTTTGTATATCAACAAAACTATTTTAAATTAGATCTGGTAAATTTTAAAAACAGTAGTTTACATTTTTATGATGGTTAAAATCAACTTTACGATAAGACATTTTGGAATGTTGAACAAAAAGATGAGTAAATGTTATTAGCAAGAATATTCATGATTCTTTTTTCTTTTTTTTTCCGCACGAGTCTCCTCAGTCTGATATAAAGAGCATTAAAGACAGACCAAGGTAAAAATTGTGGGTACTCACTTTGCCATCAGCTGGTTTCACAATGGCTAGATAGCGTTCCCAACGTGCCAGGACATGATAAAGAAAGAAATGAGCTGATGTCTCACAAGTATATGCCACATCTCCAGTGACATCCAAGCTTTCTTGCAATCTTTGCACATCATCTAGAAGATCTAACCGTTTCGCGAGGACGAAGTTCACACGTCCATATCTAAGAGAGAAAGAAAAAATGAATGAGAATACACTATTATTTCATTGAAATATCTGAAGATTGCTGTAAGACTTTGAAACTAAAGTAGGTATAACCAAGGGTGCAAAAACTTCTAGGCCTCCCCCGAAATTCAACGGGCCTCTTCCTATTATTAATCAAACCTAGCAATCAGTTCCTCTTGAAGAAAAAAAAATTTCTCCGAAAATTGTTCTCTCCGATTACTAAAACATCATAGGAAATAAAAGTTTTGAACAAATCTGACAGGACACTTCGTTTTTTATCGAATTTTACGGGGTTTCCTTATTTCACTCGATTTAAGCATTAGTGAGCGAATTGCCTGGTTAGAAATTTTCTGCGCCCCTGGGTATGAATTCTAGATTATTCTTGGTAATTTAATTTTTTAGATGCTGAAATTAAAGTGAATATTAGAGGTTAAAGATATGAAGCTTTAGGATATTTCTGGAATGATAGAAGTATTTTTGTCATTTATTGCAAGTAGAAAATTACTATCTCTTGCTGTTGAGGAGAATAAATTTACGCTAATACTGTTGAAAGTGTAATATTATCTACAATAGTACAAAGTGCTCTTATCTTCCAAAAATATATTCATTAAATACAATTTTCAAAACTGCAAAATTTTCATACCTGCTAAAATCTTTTTCGGTCTCCAGTGCCTCCTCACCATGACCAAGACGGAGGAGATGCCGCTCATCAATATCCAGGGCAATAATCTTCTCAAACAACTGATTCAATGCTTGATTAGAATGTGTAACAATTAAAGTCCTCTGATTTGGAAAGTTATGGTATATATTCGAAATGATCTGCACAGCGACATCTGTTTTTCCTGTACCAGGAGGTCCCACGACAAGTGTTAAACCAGGTTGCATGCCGGATCTTATGGCTTCTACTTGAGTCGGTGTGAACAGAATTGAGTTCCTACGAAAATAAGAGTTGGATATCAGTCTTAGAAGTTGATAGAAAATATGTTCTGTCGGCTGAAAAATCTTTTCGATTTTGAAGGCCTTGGTCATTCTGAAACAGAATCTTATTCTAAAGGAAATTGCCCATCTGAGCCTAAAAAAGCTTGTTCTCCCAAAATCCCTGTGAAAAAGTTGGAGTTGATACTTTTCTTGGAAAAAAGATTTTGGATAAATCTCAGATAATTGTGAAAAGAATTAAAAAAGTAATCAGAAGTTGATAACTTTTCCTTTTCTTTCCTTAAAATGATGATTCAGTGGCTGAAGTTGATAAATGCGAATCCCCGATTGTAACATTGCAATTGTAGCTCATGTTTCATTTTTTTGAAAAAAACTGATGAACATTTTTTCTTGAGGTCTTCTGTGAAGTTTCTTCACTTATTCAAAAATATTAACAAAAAGGATAAATTTAAAGGATACACTTTCCTTAGTTTTCTCTGAAATAAAACAAAAAACATTGTAGGTGATTTCAAAACACTTCAAAAAGGATACAGATTTGTTGACTTCAGCATCACTGTGCAATTGTTAGCACATATAATTCTTAACAGGAATAATTAATTGATTATATCTTAGGGTTGAATTTTCTTCAAAACTATGATGATTATTATGAAACTATACCAGGATAAGTAGGTCCAGCCCATAAATTGTTAAGTAGATCAATAATTAGGAGGCACCGTGCAAACACTGAGAGTGAGCTGCAAGGAGATCATGCATTGCAAGCTTTGAGCCATTAATAAATGAATGATCATGACTAATGTTGTATTAGCAGAGCCATTTTTGCTTGTTTCAATGATAGGATGACACCCTATGAGTTATTATTTGATACCTTCTGTAATCACTTAAAAGGTTTTGATCTCCGTGAGAATAACATCTTTAATGAGATAATAAGATGAGCTACTAACTTTTTGGGAGCATTAAAAAGATACGGGCCACGGTTTGGAATAATATGTGGTTCAACAATGATAGCCTTCTCCTCCATCTCTTCATTGCTAGACTCATCTTCACTATCATCACTGTCAGCGTCACGTTTCTTTTTTCGAGCAAGAACATCGGTGAAAGTCAACCTAGAGAACATTCATAATTTTTAAAGAAGAAAAAATTTGATAAAGAGATGAAAAGATACATAATTTGCATAGAAATCAAAATATGACTGTCTGCAAGAAAAAGAACTTTAGTCCACAGAGGTAAAATTTTCGATGGAACAATTTTAATCATGGAGGAGAGAAAAATCAGATTCAGCAGAGGATTCTCTTGTGTTCATGAGAGGAAGTAGCAAGCAGTTAAGGTCATTTTTGTGCTAATTGAGAGCGTAACACTACATAATAATCTGGCAATTTAGCATCCTAAACATGGCAAATTAGAAGTTTAAATAGTTTTCTTCTTAAGGCAACTTTTTTTGAACTGCTAATATCAAACCATGACTCAGGATTGACATTTATGGGCGATTCCTAACGAAAAATGTTCGTAGAATACTCCTTAATTAACAATGGCTTAATTGGGATGTTTTGGGTGTTCTCTCTTTCCATGAATGGTCATAGATACCAATGATTTTGAAATCTGCATATTTGCAGTAAATAAAATAGATCCTTTCAAATTAAGTAATAGATACTCAACATGACTAAAAATTATCAATGACTAAAAATCCAGCGAAAGTGATGTACTATTTTCTTTCATCAAGTACCCTTGAGTACCCACTCTAATACAGTTAAATATTTCGGATCTGCTCTGCACATAAATGAGTGGAAGAATTCTGCTACATTTTTAGGAAAAACTTTTTCTCCTAAAAAAAAATTGAAAAAAATGTAAATTAAGCACAGGGTTTTTCTCATTTTAAGCAAGTGCCTAAAAATTAAAATTAAATTAGAGCTTCTATGCAAAGATTGATGAAACAATTTTAAAATTTAAAAGTTTTGAAAATTACTTATTCTAAACTGAATTATGCCCTTCAATTTTTTTATTAATGAACTGACGTATTTTTAAAAAATAAAGAAACTATCAAACAAAAATTGAGAGTAATGGGTGTAAAAATAAGTATTAAGTACCTGAACGGAGGAACTAATTTCTTTGGATCATTAACATTTGTTTTGATTTGATAGTTAGGAAAACTTGCTCTGAGATGGTCCATATTCAGAAATGTGTCATTAAAATCCATGGTGGCAACTTCGAATGGCAATCTGTAAAAATTACAAGAAATTTTATTGCTCAAGGTAAAAAAAAAAAAACTAATGAGACTATATTACTTCAACTTTTTATACAGATGAAATACATTTTTTGGAGGAAATTCCTTAATTTCCTTCCCTATCCACTGTTTTCATTTCCCCGATAACAGTGGCATCAGCTACTTGCTGCTTCCAGGATTCATTTAGCTTTCAGCTATTACCTGCTAACGCAGGCCCCCTTGTAGACCTCTGTCCCAGTTGCATCAGTGGCAATAGTGAGGCGTGAATGATCGATTATCGATATTTCTCTGTTTGAAGTTGTGGTAAAGGATCGATTATTAAGGTGTTCGTTACGAGCACCCTGTTTATTGATCCTTTTCCATTGATGTTAGATCAATCAATATATCGTAAAGCAAGCCACGCCACTGATCAGTGGCTGAAGACATCATGGGTAAAATACCTTGATGATGTCATTGATGGATGTGCTTCAAAGATTTAAGAATTGAGAAATTACGATTAAATGGTAAAATCGCTTTTATACAATTTGAAAATGGATAACTTCCAATCTTCTCCTAAAATAAAATTTACAAAATATACTTACTTGAAGTACTGTGCTGCTCCTGGATCTCCATATCCCAGGATGATATCATGCAGCCACTCAGGAACAACACATTCCGTGTTCATCAACTCGCGAATTGTTTCTAATACAGCTTTGAAGTTGTTTTCTTTCGGTTTCCGACGGATAATAATGTTGAAAGTTTCATACACATCCTGAATAATGAACAGAAAAATGGATTATGGTATAGAACATGGGAAGATGAGGTAAAATACGAGAAATAAGTCAAATATCGGTAACATAATGTACAGTGGTTGCATTGGCAATCAATAGAGTGTAGCAAGTAAAATAAAATTGATGTGAAATGACGTCAAAAATTTTGTGGCTAGTTTTTAGCCTATATGTAATTATATCAATTTCAGCATAGGTCACGGACGGTCTTCCTGGCGTGAAGATTTCTATCCACAGAAAATACCATAATGGTAATGTTTAATAACCTATCTGAGTACATTAAAACTCTCCTTAGATACCACAATATGATTTTCAGTGTATAAGAAATTATAGCATTTTTTTAATATAAATAATATTACTCCTTTTATGGCCTTCAAAATACATTAAATTACGATCCAAAAAAAATGTTTGTCAAGAGAAAAAACTTCTCATTTCATATCAATGCCCCAGAGCCAAAAGGTGCCCAAGTCACATTGTTGGAAAAATCGAGTGCTTGGTATTTTAAAAATCTCCATTAACGGAGTGAAAAATTTGGCAGTCTTATCTGATGCCCATTAACAGATACAGAATTTCCAATATTGCGATTCACATTGGGATCGATGGGGCCAGGCCGACCAGCAGTTTTCCCCTGATATCTCGGAATGACTAAAATGGAGTTGATGACCTTTTTGCTCCAGGGTGCTGATATGAAGACTTGAGGGAAAAAAGGATTTTTTTTAAAAAATTTCTATTACCTCATGACCTGCTGAAACATTTTCCATGTCTTGGTAGTATTGATTAGCATCTAACATCACACGGAATGTTCTATTATCACCGGGTAACTCGGGCCGTGGTTCTGGTCCTTCCTCAATCACACGGCCATTTGCATCCAGCATGCCTTCCATTTCACAACCTCTCAAATAGATTAAACCAGTTTGTTCAACTATTTGTCCGTTTGGATCAATTTTGGTTCCTATTCAAAGAGAGAATATAAAGATTTAGTTAGAGGTAAAGTAGTATGGTGTTTCCATGACTTAAATAAAATTGGAAGCTTAAGTTTAAACACATTCATTACCTTCACACCTTCATTACAATGACAATGTGCATGAGAAAAGAACAAAAAAAAATTAATCTGGAACCTCTTCATAATGGCATGAATTAAAATTCGCCATAAAACAACATCAAAATCAAACAAAGTGAGAGAGACAGCTATGATTTACTCCTAAAATTGTACAATAATAGAAATGAAAATTCAAGAGTGGTTAAAACGATCTACAGATTAAATTTAAAACAGAGATTCAAATATTACAGAAAAAAGGCGTTTAGCGCAATAAAAGTTTATAGTATGGATCGAATCGTAAAACTCTACAAACCTATGGGAAGTGGTGGTCGCACTGTTAGAAGGAAACAGACATCATGTTTCCTTAAATTTTCCCATTCACCTTTGACATCTCTCCTGACGTTGAGATTGACAGTTACGTCAGCACGTACTCTGGATGGTTGCTTTTCACCTGAAGAAGAAGAGTACAAATTTTAATTATTGAATATCAGTAAGATAATATGTTCACCTCTTACACATTGAATGGGTTTTTGTTGCTAAAATATAAGGAGAGAGAGCAATAAGAGAGGAGCATACCATGCTTGCCAATTGAGGGTACATACATAATTTGATTACTTAGGTATCTTCATAATTTAGATCAAATGAGAGAGAAAGAAAGATCTCATCAATTTACAAGTCAAATGCAAACTCATTAAGTCATGTCAGGGTTGATTCATACAATTTTATGATCAAATACATAAAAATGTTTGATGTCATACAAAATATAGAGGGAGTTTTTTAATTTTGTGTTAACATTTCTTAAAATTTTGTGATTAATAATTGAGGTTTCTATAGTTAGCAGATTCATTTTTAAAGTTTACTCACCGATATTGGGCTTTGCAACCTCAACAACACAAAATCGAACGATAGGTTGAGCCATGCGAGCCCAACCTCCAAAGAATGTTGAGCCATCTTCAGCTTTCCTAAAATGGAAAATAAAGTAAAGTATTAGTAGATTGCATTAAAATTAGTTAAAATTTCTTTCAGTCTTAAAAATTTTTTGTGGCCCATCATGTTGTAACCGATAAAAGTAAAAGCTATTTCTATGAATTCAATGAATTTTCGAGAGCCTTATGATAAAAATGATTTGAAAAACTCAAGTAAACGCCTTCTATAAATCTGCAGTCAAATGGTGCCTAGAGAAACGTACACAATAAGAAAAGCCTAGTTTACCATTCAACACTTCTACGTATTTTTACAAACTTTATGCAACATTTTACTTTAATGCAGGAAAAACCAACTAATTCCGGTATATGAATTTTTTCATAATTTTTAAATAATAAACTAAAAAGCTTCTCTAGCATTGTCACAAAAGAGTATTTGTTGGTTTTTTTCAAAAAAAAAAAGAAAAGAGAAAAGGAAGCAGAAGAATGAGAGGAAATCTTGAAACGCAGCAATCAAGATTCATATTTTTTTAATTTCACCACTAATTTATGAATTCAAAGAAGGAATTAGCAAACACTGACTGAAGATATACATTTCGGAAAAAAGTGACATGACTTACCATGGACTTAATTTTGTAACCGCATCTTCAACGTCTTGACGGATTTCATCTGAACACAAAAAAAAATAACAAATAATTAAATCAAAATACACCTCAAGGATTCAAGACACCAATCTTATAATGAGGTACTTGCAAAATTCAATGACAAAGGAAACGTTGCAAAACAGAATCATTTATTATATCAACAGATCACATGTTCTCACTACTCTTTTTAACCAGCCCCTATAGTTTGGACAGTTTTCATTTTTTTTACAATCAATTCAAAAGACATAAAAAACAGAGGATAATCTTACAATCTCTATGAGTTTTGAAGTTTAAGATTTATTGATTAACAGGAAAATAATATAAACATTTGACTGTACGCTTTTGTTCGGTACTTCTCATGAATAATTCTTCTTTAAAATTATATCCGAGAATTATGAGCTTCATAAAAATGTCTCCGTGTTGCTCTATGCTATCACTGAATTAAATAGCATCCCTTAATTTAGGCTGTGTATCGGAAACATTTGAAATGTTTACTTTCAAGAGGGTTTGTATCACATTGCAATAGGAATCTTATCTCTTTTGAGAGGATTTTTGTATTTTTAATCGATTCTGACAGACAGAAAAAAATGGGGGAAAATAAAAAATAAAACTTACATGTTGATTCAAGCCGGAACAAATTGAAATTTCTCAATAAATAATCGTGCAAAGTAAGGAACTGTAGGTTAAGTTTAGGGAGTGCAAGACATCCTTCTCCAGAGAAATATTCTGTTGGCACAACGCTCTCATTCCAAGTGATTTCTTCAGTTGGATAAAGTGGCATTGAATTCAGATCCTCCAATTGTGACACTCGTCTTTCATGACGAGAGATCTACAAAGCAAAATGCAAAAAATAGTAAATATTTGAAAAATGAAAAGGAGACGTGGGTTCCTTCTGGACTGAAGTGATGCAATAACAGTTCATGCCCAGAGAAGAAAAAAGTAGCTTGTGGCAATACAAAGTAGCCCATGCCGCGCAGATTTTTTGTGTACCAATTTCTAATTAAATTCTTTGATTTCTCTCTCCTGAGGGAGAATCCAACACACCCCTCTCATTTGGAGAGGATAGGTTTTAAAACTTTTTCTGTACCCAAAAAAATTTATGAGAGGATAATTCCTTTGTGAAACTTTTCCAGGAAAGGATTAAACCAAATACATTAAACTCAATTTTTCTCTTGGGCAAATGCAAAAATATCTGAGTTTCCTGGTCATAATTTTTCAAACGCGAAGTTTGCTACGCATGAATTCAGCTAACTTATTATCAGTTATTTTTTATATAAGTATGATTTAGGTTTCTAGAAAAATGCACTTAAAAGATACATTAGAAAGATAAAATACATTCACTTTTTTAAAAAATCTTATCATACAGAAACTTTTATGTGATGGCGGTAATACTTGATACTGATAAGATTTCTTTTCCACTACTTCAAATTTATAGAGGAAGATTTTTGCAAAAATATAATACCACACATTTAGAAAAAAAAAAATGAGGCGAAAAATATTAGAAAAACTCACCAACAACTCAAGAAGAAATTGCTTATCTAAACGGTACCAATTTTCAAGGGCCGATCGTTCCGCTGGAGGAAGCAGGTACAAATATCTTGCGATTGCTTGAAGTTGCGGCTCACTAAATCAGAGAAAAAGCAATTAATTAAATATTGAAAAAAGAAAGAATAAAAACGAGAGATTACAGAAATGATTATAGGTAAAATTATGATCATATCATTTGTGTGTGTAAGGAATCACATTTTTTCGTTTAATCAAAGTTACATTGAATAACTTCTATGATGCGTTGAATATACTGAGAACTAACGTAAATAAAAGATAGAATGAATTTCTATGGAGAATTTTCTGATGAAATTTTCATGGTGCATTCTTGATAGCCTTTATCTTTGAGTGCCGCTATCATGTACATCCTTGACTTAAATTCATGATTCATGATGCTTGTGGAGCCCATGGAATGAAAACTGCTGAGAGCAAAAAGAGCAGATGAAGAATCCCTCTCCATAGTTATATCATGATTTTAGACTTACCTGAGGGGTCCAAAATGCTTTATAAGATCTTCTCTAGTGTCTACACGGGCGACATTGGATAGGGAGAAACTACGTAGCTCGGGAAATTTCACAAAAGCAGCTCTCTGAAAGAAATCCAAAGAGAATAGGTAAGAAAATGAATAAAAAAGGTTTTATTTGCTGGATAAAGTAAAAGATAATTCGAATCAACATACTTTATTCTCAATTTATTGTGTTCAGAATTGTACAGGTTTAACTCCTTGCAATCACTGGACGCAGAAAAGGTGTGGCTATTTATTTGGTAGTTTCTCACAAACTTTAGCTGCGGAAAAACACGAGCCCATCATTATTACTGAAAACCAACTTGTTACGGAGAGATAGTGTTTTTTTCTTCTTTTTGGACATCAAAAATGCCTTTAGGCAAGTCTGCTAAAGATACTCCAGGAAATTTAGGTGCTTGGTGTCTCTGTCTCATAGATCAAAATAATTTAAAAGAGATTAACAACTTTAAAAAAGAGAAAGAAAGGAGAGGGGAAAATAAGAGATTGGGAAAATTACACGGGATTCATACAATGAGATCTCTAAAAATAGAAAAAATGCATATATATTTTTTTTTTCCATAAAGAGGAACTTAACAAAAAGCACGACTTATAAAAGAAATAATAAAATGAAATGAATAAATAAAATACAGAGATAGATAATCATAATGATGAAATATTGATGATAAAAAAGTGAAATTATTAGGGAAAATGAGAAAGCCGTTGACTTACCTGTAGGGAAACTATATTCGAATAATGAATTTGAGTCATGTCGTGGTCAGTGAGAGGATCGCCCGTTTCATCACTGATTTCAAATCTCGCATAAAATTTCAAGATTTTCAGCAACTGAAACAAAAACATAAATTTTATAGATAGAATTAAAAACGAAAAAAAATAATGATGCACTAGGAGAGAGAAATTAGCCACTTGTGTGGAACATTATGACTAAAGAGGTCTGGTGCATGGAATGTGACAAAACATCTTTGCAATTTCAAGAAGAGCAAGATATAAAAAATACACTATTTAACGGTAACGCATTCAATGTTGTTGATAATAACGCCTTGATATGATACAACTATTCGTACTCTATGAACATGCGTGTTGCATGTGAAAAAATTGAAGGCGCTCCGGCCACTTCGGTCCATGAAGCAGAGTACGCAGAAGCACGTGGCGCGCTGTTAAAAGTACGACGCAAGATCAAATGGTCTGATAAAAACTGAAGCAAGAGGACAAGTAACGATGTTTTTACTTCATTTTCACACATCAGGAAATTATATCTCACCGCAGAACAGAATCGTGACAGCGTGACAGCACTGCTCGCATGCGCCACGCATGCCATAGGCAGGATGGCTTGAGCGCCTTCAATTTTTAGTAAGCAACACGGCTATCCATAGTGCACGAATTGTCGCATCAGGGCGCTATTGCCGATGTCATCGTCCTAGCTTCGGATGTCAATGCTGAATCATTGAGGGAAAACGACAAGTATGAACCCCCGAACATTGTCAAATTTCCTCCAATTAAAGATTTTCCTGGAGGACGTGTTAGCTCTTAATTTATCAATCTTCAGAGAATTTTCTGCGCAATTTAATCTAATGATTTTGATGAAAATTTTAAGGAAAATGATTTCCAACCGCACGAAATCCAGGATCTCGTCATTATTAATTTTCGTCGGATTAACCCAAGTAGCATTTTTCAACGGAAAAATCGCGATTTGTTGCGATTTTGTCGGCAATAAAATCGCTAATATAAGATCATCGACATCTGAACGATTATCCTCAATCGTGTTTCAATAAAATCGCGATTTTATCGCCCGGCACTTTATCGCGATATTATCGCAACAAAAATCGCGACATGTGGCGATTTAATCTCGATTTTACTAACGAGAATTCATCGCGCTTTTGTTGAACAAAAAATTGCGATGCATAGCGATTTAATCGCCATAAATCGCGATTTTTTATTCGATAATATTGTGATAAATTGCCACCGATATAATCGCGATAATCAACCGATAAAATCGCTATTTATCGCGATCACTGCTACTTGGGAAACGGACGAAACTTCGTCGCTTGAGCACAAAAATTCGTGGTTTTCGATATGCGCCCTCAAGTGCTCGAAGGTGACAAAATAAGTCGATACGCGATCAAAATTCGGTACTTGCATAAACGAAGTACAATCATAAGTATCCGTTCGCGGTCACACTTGAACAAACCTCAGTATCATTATTAATTGTCAGGGAAATAATTGATTTTGTATCTACACTGCTTCGGGGGTCTTTTTTTCCACCCCTCGTGCTAAACGAGCAAGTGCCTATTGTTAACCTTGGAAGCCAAATAAAGAGCTGAGGCACTCGTAGTATCGAGTTCATCGCGCCCCGTATAATCCGCGCGCCCGTGCTCTCTCGTTTTATTAGCGAGGAAGTATTAAATGCAGCTTACACTCTCCTCTTCTGATTTTACCCCTTTGTTTTGTCTCGAGCTTCCGATACCCACTTATGCAGTCGACGACCATCATCCCCGACAACCCGATTATAGTCTACTGCACGTCGCCGATTTTCGTTCCGAACTTCCCCTTTTTTTGCACGATGCGTTGAAGGGTGATTACACGATTATGGGAAAAGTAGGGTCGTCACTTTGATTTTTAGCGTCTTCAAAAACTACACATAGAGCGAAATGAATGTTGAAATTATGACTGTTTATGCTCCTCTCTAAGTTTGTTACGTTTGCAGTAAAATTGAAGGCGTGCTTCAAGTGAAAAAAAGAACATCGATAGATTCCTATGCTGGTCCCAGCGAGGAATAGAGCGTAATCTAGTTGTATTTCATTTTGCATACCCAGGAACATTGAAGGCGAACTTGAAGTAAACGATGTTTACTGATCCGGCCGATCAGTAAACATCGTTTACTTCAAGTAACACACAAGTATAGCACACACAAGTATAGAAATCGAACTAATACCACGTTTTTCGAGAGGGTGACTATTCGTGCTTCTCTGAGGGTATGTTGCCTATCCGGCGAAAATGAAGGCAAACTAAAATTATACTAGTTCTACCAATAAGTCACGCACTGTCCTCGAGCGAAGCATACAGCAAGATAACGTCGTTTTCCGGATAGAAAACAGTTTCCGCTGACTCAGACTACTCAGAGACTTTAACGCAGAGTAGAAAAGCTGGAGGGGGCGAAACACGTGATACAAATATTTTGACTTCCGAGATAATAAAATTGCATAGCCACAAAATGAAGGAGCACACGGTGTTCTCATCATCCCAACTATTCGGTTCATTAAACCCAAACGTTTGGTTCGCAGAACTGAACTTAGGACGTTAAAAGAAATGATGAAAGAAGTATGGTTACACGAATAAAAAAATGGGTTTTATTCTAAAGAGCGAAACGAATAAATAAATTGGTTCTAATCTAAAGAGTGAAGGGTCAACGCACTAATTTTGACGAAACAAGGGAAGAAGCGGAGAATTTTTGCGAAAATTACTTCGTAAGTGTTGAATTTGTACAACATTAATGCGACCACTTTAATTTTTTAAAAGATATACTACGAGCACGCTATTTTTTGTTAAAAATTACTGCCAACGCGCAATGTAGTAGTACTCATAGTGCGTCGGCTGAATCCTTAATTGCTCGAAACTGCGGAGGCCGGAGAACTTTCTGCACCCCTGTTTTCGAATGGGCAACTATTTGAGCTCTCCTGTGGGTTTGTTGCCTAATCGGCGGAATTGAAGGCGAACTTTAAGTGGACGAAAGCCACCAATAAATTACGCATTGTCTTCTGGTTCCAGGAAAGCATGTGTTTAAAGTCGAATACTGCGCAACTCAGATTGCGACGTTTTGAGCCACCGCTCACATTTTACGTATTTATAGGGAAATTAACCAACAGTTTCTATTAAAATTCCTGTAAATTTTCTTCTTTAAATCTATCAAAATCGCACATAATTGAAAGGAAAGTACAATTAGAGAAGTCACACAGGGAGATTTTTTGCTTTCCCGTGACAGGAATAAAACAGGCGGTAAACCGGAGAGCGAACACAAAGTCAGAAAGGAGAGAGATGAAAAAGAGTATGGAGAGGGGGGCGGAAAAGTTAAGATTCGATAACAATGAAATTGCTCGGATGGATAAGGAAGAGCCGACAACGACCGATGCGATGATGGGACCGGTTGAACTACCTTCATTCCAGGTTCCTTAAATGGTGCAACTTTGAGGATACTGGTCTGCGGTCGGGACATGAATCCTCACGCAGAATTGAACCGACCGCGGCACAGTGGGCCAGGGAGGCCCGTTTTACGCGAAAAATACCGTTTTTATGAGTGTCCAGTATTGTATTGATGATGAGGAATTCGTTAAAGTGACTCTCTAAGGGATGAGAATTCATCAAAATTTCATCGAATAATCGCCCAGCAGCGATGTATTGGAGGGGGGAACTTGGGTACCTCTCACACTGCACGGATAATATATAGTAGCGCGTCCTGAACTGCAACCTTGTAAGGCCTTATCACGGTTCAGCGGTTTCGCGGGGTAAAAATTTGTTCACTAGGACTTATTCTCCTAAGAAAGAGCTTTCATTTGATGTATACACTTTTTCCATTGCGCACTTTTCACTGTCCAAAAAGCTTGTTAGAAAATGTGCCTAATAAATCTTAAAAATTCCATCGAAAAAGCTTTCTGCAGTTTTTTCTTTAAGTTTCCTTAGAGTTTTAGGGCCAGATACTTATTCTTTAAATCCTCAACATTCATTTGCACTACAGCTTTGCTGCGGGAAACTGCGGGAAACCCATTTTTTTAATTTTTTTAATAAAAAAGTCGACTCATCAAAAATAGGTTTAAGTTCATGTTTCACATATAATATGACCTTAGATATCGTACAATAAATAAATTCTTCCGAGTGAATAGTAATAATATTATTAAATTGAGCTGCCACGCTACTGAGGGTGCGCAATTTTTCCATGGTTGCCACATTTTCTCGTATTTAATAACTACAAAAAAGGTTCTCAGATGAGACGATACTATAAATCTGTCTGTCATTCTGTCTCTCATATTTTTCTTCTTTTCCGTAAGTGAAATTATTAATAGTACCATACGGGTACTATATGTGACCCAGCAGGACAAAATGCGCCTTTAAAGGAAAGCTGATATTGTTTAGTACATCAGAAAACAGTTTGAGGGTAAAAAAAAACCCCACACTACTTCAGTTTTCAATGATGATAATTCCTAATGTAATATTCTGAAGGGCATTTGGGTCAATCTCTGGAGCCATAATTTGCGTTATTTATAATGTAAGCTTTTAAGGTGGATCGTTCCTCAAGATAAGCAACTGTGCAGACAAACTTTAACTGCTATTTACTTGGGAAACTTTTGTTTCTCCCTCGGACTTTTAAATGCTGCAAAGTGGTCAAATTCAGGAATTTTTCAGTTATGACTTTGTGCCAACTAATGCAGAACTAACCCCTCTAACCCATGGTACTGTTCACCTAAAGGCTAATTTTGTCCTGTTGCTTCACTTATGTCGTTTGGTTTCCTGAATTTAATTGTGTCCTTTCACATACCAGACCATCACAGCAACTCACCTACGATTTTCGTGCTTCTCAAAATATGTATTGACGATTTCAATCGCACTAAAAGCTGCTATTGTTGACTAGCTCAATCGACGGCAAATCCGTGGATATTTGAATTTAGATCTGATTTGATACAAAACTTTTTTTTCTCTTTCTTTTTTTATTTTTATTTAAATTTCTGAATTTTGAGCTTTGTTAGCCGATAATTGGTAAACATTTGGGCGGAACTTATTGAAGTCCAAGAATGTTGCACCAAATGCAAGAGTGGTAAATAGATACTGTTCAGCTGACCGTCATTTCCAATAAACGTTGTAAGTAAATGTTGTCCATTCTCATAGCAAGCGCCGCTAAACAAAAATTCATAGAATGCTTTTTTGATCCTCTGACATGATACTTGATAGCTTACAACAGCAAAACGTAGAAACATGAAACCATGGAGGGCATTACTTTGCAAAATTATTTTCACTTAAACATGGTAACCCACAAGAACCAATAATACGAGGAGACAGTGACCAAAAAGAAAAAAAAATTAACATGTAAAGCGTTCCTAGGTGAACATTCTCGTCTTTTATACTTCTAATTTTAACAATATTAGATCGTTTTCCAGACTCTTCTTGGTCACATCCAAGTTCTCAATTATGTTTCTGAAAGTTTCTCCAGCGTTAAAATGGTTCCTAATCTCAGTGAGATTGCTCATAAAAAGGAATCATCACTGGACTAGCGTATATCCTCATAACATACTTTTCCTGTGATTTTTGAAAAAATCTGATATCAAATTCGAGTTCAGCGACCCAAAAAACCCCCTTAAACCAAAACTTAGTGATTTTCGTTCGGATTTAGCCGAGATATCAATTATTCTCGCGCAACCGGCACCTCTGGCCCACAGTGCGCGGAAGATATGAGGAATAAGTTGAGATGGTGGCCGGTGGGACTCGGCTCTTTTAGTGTATTTTCCGAAGAAAATACACTATTTTTGTGGTTGTACTCAACGCGCTTCGAGAGGGTATTGGACTTTCTCTGCCTTTCCACGGTTTTTGGGATTCCAGGGTGTCTACTAAAACAAGCTGGCCAAAAATCAGTACTTTTACAGTGCTTTTTCAGTACATTCTCAGGAAATTCAGTACCTCCCCCAGTAAGAAAATTCCGTACTTTTCAGTACCTCCATTTGACGATATTCGAAAAATTTCAAAAATTTGAAATTGCGACAAAAATGACAACAAATTCCGCAAAAAATCCGGACCTTTTTGCGGAATTTCCGCACTTTTCCATTACTTCCGGACCGCCTTAAAAAAAATCAGTAATATTTCCGGACTTGTAGACACCCTGGATCAGGCCCGCCACATCCCATCTCGGGCCCTGGTACCAATTTTCTGGCCCGGGCCCCTAGCACGGGGGGGAAGGGGGGTCCGGGGGGCCTCCCCCGGGAAATTTTTGAAATTTTAAATCTATTTCGACGCATTATGAAGCTCCTATGATGGAGATTTTCCATCAATTTCTGCAGAATAATTACGCCTTTTTGTTTACTTTCAGCACCAAAAACTTTCGAATTGTTGCATTCAAAACATCTATAAATTTATTTTTGAGGGGGCAGATGATAATTTTCAATTCTATGGGGTGCCGGGCCCCCCTGGACTCCCCTTTCGTACGTCTATGGCAAGGGAGTTAAGCCATTGAAGTCGAGGATGCCCAGAAAGGAGCCTCTTAGCATCCGACGACGGAAGAAAATGAAACACAGTTACTAAAAATATCATTCTACTTATACTCAAAATCTTGAAAATCGCTAAAAAAGTAAGAAAAATTTTATAGTGCCCTAGCGTGTTTTTGAAACTTTATTCACCTTTTGCGGAATTTTTAGGGTAATTTTTTCACTTTTCCCTACGAGACAAGGGTTACACATGAATTCGTAGTGGTTTGTCACCTGCGTCACGGGCCCCTCCAGGGCCCGGGCCCCGGTACCAAGGACCCAGTATCCCCCCCCTTGTGGCGGGCCTGCCCTGGATACAAAATTTCATAACCTTTCAAGGTTTATGGACCTCCAGCCAATGAGAATATCTTACAATATATTAAAATCATAAGGCTAAAGATATGAGCAATGTTTGGACCACACTTAAGGCTATAGTTTTGAGATAGCTCCACGTGACACTACTCAGCATGAATTTTTGCATCACGGAGCCCTTTTTTGGACTTCCTGATTCAGCCCAAAAAATCGTGGTAAATTAAAATTTGCACATAATTTAGTGTTGTCACGTGAGCACACAAATGAAAGGATAAGATGAAAGCACCATATAAGTCCTGTCATATTCGGCAACACCGCGATGCCTGCGGTATTTACGACTTTTTAAAGGCGTGATATAACTATTTCGACTTCAAGAGGGTGAAATTGCAAATCCACGAAATGAAGGAGAACGTGAACTCTTTGCTGCTGATTGAGAGACTTTAACGCAGAGTAGAAAAGTTAGATGAGGCGAAATACGCGATACAAATATTCCGACTTCCAAGAGGATAAAATTGCATATCCACTTAATGAAGGAGAACATGGAGTTCTATATCAACTATTCGGTTCGTCAAACCCAATTTTCAGTTCGTGCAACTGAACTTATGAGATTAAAAGAATTGATGAAAGAAGTCTAGTTACACGAGTCAAACTTTCGGTGATGCGAATCGAAAAACGGGTTTATTCAGATGAGTAAACGCTTAAAGCACTGCTTTTTACGAAAACTTACGACACGGATGTCGATATTCTATAAAAGTGCGGGTGGAAACGTTGCATTTTTTTATTTTTTTGGGAAAATTACTACGTAAGTGTTGATTTGTTTTTTTTTTCCTCGAGCGACCGCTCGCAAATAAGTTTGCAGTCTAACTAATGAACAGTAAAGGATTTACTAAATGTCTGAGTGAGACTAAAGAGGAAAAAACTACAGATCACGCCCTGACTTCTACTGCGAATCCGCGATATTTGATTAACCGCGGTATTCGATTAACTGCGATATTCGATTAACCGCGGTATTCGATTAACTGCGATATTTGATTAACCGCGGTATTCGATTAACTGCGATATTCGATCAACCGCGATATTTGATTAACCGCGGTATTCGATTAAATGCGATATTCGATTAACCGCGATATTCGATTTACCGCGGTATTCGATTAACCGCGATATTCGATTAACCGCGGTATTCGATTAACCGCGGTATTCGATTAAATGCGATATTCGATCAACCGCGGTATTCGATTAACCGCGGTATTCGATTAACCGCGATATTCGATTAACCGCGATTTTCAAATATCCGCGAGTCCTCCGGTCCCAATCATCGCGGATAATCGAGACTACTGTAAACGCATTTGCATTTGAAATGAATAGATGCAAGGCTGTACAAACGAGACGACAGATGATTCAAGCAGGGCTGCCAACCGCTCCCGTGTGGGCTGGCTGGCGAGGACCATGCCTCAATTACGGCGATTGCACACGGCTAGCGGAAGAGTCACGGAAACATGAACTCGGACGCCCCGGTGCATTAAACCGGGGGCAATTTGGTGGATCATATCTCGAGCCCGGGTCCGATCGAGACGCGCGCGCAGATCTCGTGTCAAAACAAACCGCGAAACACGCAAATGAAGTGAGGAGCGCGCCCGAGCGGGGCGGAGGAGGAGAACTTGAATCAGAGTTCAGTGGGTAAAGCTGGACTTCACGATGAGCTCCGAACACCGTGTTACAGCGAGGCGCCCAAGGGCCTCCCAGGATGACTAAGCTTGCGAAAGAGGACATTGCCAAGTGAGGCGAGACGGCTGCATTTAGACGCGAGCACCCACCCACACAATCCTTTCAGTGTTGAGAAAAAAATAGCAGGATAGGGTATGCTGTGGCGGTTAGGCACAAGCCGCAAAGCGCTGAAGTCTCGATTATCCGCGATGATTGGGACCGGAGGTATCGCGGATATTTGAAAATCGCAGTGAATCGAATATCGCGGATAATCAAATATCGTAGTTAATCGAATATCGCGGATAATCAAATATCGCAGTTAATCGAATATCGCGGATAATCAAATATCGCAGTTAATCGAATATCGCGGATAATCAAATATCGCGGATAATCGAATATCGCGGATAATCGAATATCGCGGATAATCAAATATCGTGGATAATCAAATATCGCAGTTAATCGAATATCGCGGATAATCAAATATCGCGGATAATCAAATATCGCGGATTATCAAATATCGTGGATAATCAAATATTGCAGGTAAGCAGTAGAAATCAGGACTTGATCGGTAGTTTTTCCCTCTTTCGGCGCAAAGCGCTATGATTCTCCGTGTTAAAAAAAAAAAAAAAAAAAAAAAAAAAAAAAAAAAAAAAAAAGCGAGAGGCGGGAGATTAGACAACGCTCGGTGGAGTTAGGTTGATTCTCGTTTTAAGCGTCCGATTCATGAAAGAATCCGTTTTTTCTCGTAACTTCGGCAACGCTAGAGCACAGAAAGGAAATACACCGCGGCGGCAGGGGAGGAGGAACCGGGCAGGCCCCCTCCACCGCGAGCGTCAAGGTTCCCTCCAGGTATTCACGGTTCCGTAGTAAAGCCAACAGCGAGTCTCGCCACCGCGCTCCAGTCAGTAAAATCCGGCCACTCGCAGCCACTCGAGGCGGCCAAGCCTCGACTCATTCGAGACCAGACGCCGTTCTTGCGACACTCGCGAGCTCTCCTCCGCATGTGCGCGTAGTGCTATCGTGTTGTGATGTTCGGCTATGTCGGCGGAACCGCGGTGAGATGGACTATTTCGTGATCTTAGTGTGTTTGATCAGCAGTGTCGTCGTGATATGTGGTAATATCCCGCCCAAACGGCTCCTGAAACCGACAGCACCCGCTCTCAAAGAACCGGTGCTCGTCCAAAAGTGCTGCGAGGAATGGGAGCTCATGGTCGACGGCAAGTGCCGGCCAGGCAACGAGACCGATGACACCCAGTTGTGGAAACCCATGTTCACGGACGAGTTCGGCAGCACGAACCTCCAGGTACGAAGCTCTTTGTATTTCATGCTACATGCACGGTTAGGTATGCATCTGAGATTCCGAACGCAGATGCACTCGCTTGACCTACTTGAGGTGCTCAGAGAGGACAAGTCAATTACTTGGTGCATTGCGTCGATGCTGAGATGTTGCAACTTTTGTCGTTCGTCACGAGTTGTACTGCTAGTTTTGGGGTGGAAAACTTGGTAAAATAAGAAGATGTAAGACAAAATGTCAGCTAAAAAATTTAAAATAAAACAGAGTAGATTAAAAAAATTGATTTGCCCGCTGAAATCGAGGTAGTTTTGATACAATGAATTGGGAACTTCGGACTAGGATTTCATGGACTAATAAACCACCCCCAATTTATTGGTGTTCATCGTCATATATACCATCTATTTTCCAGTTCCCTTGATCACTAGATGATACCATTATGTACGACAACCTGCGGTAAAACGTTTAAGTACATTTCAACGGAGATCAAGCGAGAAGTAACAATATCTCGTAACAGAGTAATGCATTCGCTGAAACTCGATCCTAAAAACCTCAATCTCAAGTGAGAAAACCTAACCACAAGCTCTCAAAGTCGTCATAGGCCCAACTGGAGCGATGGTATAGGAAAACTTGGGCGTAAAACAGGAAAGTTGTTGAACACGGTACAATGTCGATGGTGATTTGAATGGGAGAGGGGGGTGGGGGGATGGTAAGCAAAACAACCTATCATATACAGGTGGAATGTGGTGCATATATGTATATTGTGTGCACTGACATGGTCGTATGTCCCAACACGATTTGCCCCTGAAATTCCGAACCCAGGATTTAGGTGTAAGTGAAAGCTTAGAAAATGAATACGCCCTCACATCAAGAGTATTTCCAAGAGACGTACTCATCTACTGATGGTTCACATGGTTAAAGCCAGACCCTTTCTCTTGGAGCTTTTGAGTCTATTATGTTTGATTTGATCTCAAGTTACAAGAGTAACCCACGTGCGTAGAAGAAAAGTTTCTTATTAAACCCTAAAGAGATGGCTCCAAATGAGAACTATTCGCCTACTTTTCTTTAAATCTTAATTGCCCCCGATGTTGCAACAGGGCGCACAAGGAAGAAGCCGGTTCCACGAAACAAAAGGAGTACATGAGGGTGGCTTGTCTTCGGCTCTCTCCTAATTCTTACTAAGTAGGTACTCGCATAAATCATGGAATTCCCATGTGCAAGACGTATGAGGCCGAATGAAATGCATTTTCTGAGCACATAACCACGCTGATTACGCCAGGGCCGGATTAAGGGGGTGGCCACATGGGCCGCGGCCCATGGCGGCAAATTTTGCAATTTTTTTAAATGTAGGTTTAAAAAAAAATCGGATTTAGAAAACAAAAATAACAACCGAGAAAAGGCGACAAAATCTCTAATTTTCTGAGAGTATAGTAATTTCTACTTTTGTCGTCTTTCAGTGATACAAGAGGTTCGCACCTTTAATTAGTCGAGTTAAGAGAGAAACCAAACACGCAATTTGGCCAGGAGCGGCGCGACTTACCTAGAGAGAAATGATAACGAGGACTTGAGATGAAAAGGAGAAGCCCTCGGCGCGGCGCGGCGATCGGCATGTAACACATATTAGCGCCTACAAGACTGCACGCATACTTCATGCATTGCATCAAACACGGTGCGGTCATTGCGGACAGCGCGAAACGGATAGCACCTACAAAAATGCATAAATACCTCACGCATTGCGGCAAACACAGTGCGATCAGCGGGAGACGCATGGCGCCTACAAGACTGCGTGAGTACTTCACGCATTGCGTCAAACACAGTGCGGTCTGCGAGGCGCGGCGGAGGAAGTTAAAATCATTAGTCCACATTTATGTTTGTTCTTTCATAATTTTTTCGTTCATTTCTTATAAATGGAAGGCCTTGTCCACACAGAGATAGATTTACGAAACTTAACTTTCGCGCAAAGTTCCGCGAACTCTTGCTGGTAGTGTTGACAGGGCTTTCCCAAAAAATGTGTTCAACACCAGTAAACGCGTCTTATGCACCTCTCCCCGCTGGCACGTTCATTAGATGGTTTTCATTGGTGTTTCAAAACGAATGAGAAGGGGGCAGCAAAATACTAGCGGCGGCAAGTAGGTAAATCCGTCCCTGGATTACGTAGGTGCCTATCAGAAGTTCTTAAAATTAACGTAAGTTAATTAATCGCCGATCTTCCTCTTTGTTTCAGGTGCCGTTCAACCTGAGCATCGGGATTCCCGACTGTGGAACGAGGCAGCAATGGCCGATTCACCACTACACCAACTCGGAGGACCGACTCATTCTCCTGCCGGACGGAAAGCTCCGCCACTATATCGTCGAGCCGAAAAAGGCCGGCGACTACGGCGAGACGGATGACGTCACGCAGGAGAGGATCCCGGGTAAAGGACCCGAGCACATAGCAGATCTCTCCTTCTACGACTACCACCACGGCCAGTATTGTTTGGACAAGGTGGGTTTAGCAGATGACAGGGTCATATTGATGTAGATACGATGTTTCTACTAATGATCTGTGTAGATGCGATAAGACAGGTGGCCCTAGCTCTACACAGAGAAAAAAAGTCCAGCCCTGGAAGCCGTACTTACGGGCTATATACAGGGTGGGCCAGAAGTTCCAGGACGGTCGGCTAACTTTTGAACGGTTCGAGATAGAAAAATGAAACTTTGGGAATGTTCTTATCTCAAAGGGGACCATCTTTTGGGGGAGTCAAAATTTTGGTCCCCCCTAAGGGAGGGGGCGGGGGGCCCCCAACTTTTTTTTTTCAAATGGCAACCCCTATCTTGTGATAGCTCATTCGAAAGACCATAAAAAACTAAGAATTTTGGCGCAAACCGCAGATCAATATCTTAATTTTTGACCGAGTTATGATAGGATCAAAGGTCAAATTTGACCTATTTTCAAAAAATCACAACTCCGGTTCAAATTATCGTAAAGAAAAAAATAAAACGGGAAAATTTACTAATTGTGTTCGCTTTTTTGTAAACATTGCAGAAATCACTTCGAACTAATTTTAAGGGGGGATTCGGACCTCCAAATACGTCAATTCAAAGGTCACTCAATTCTCCCGCGAAATAAGCCAATTTCCCCTAGATTTGCCTCCACATTATCTCAGTAAGGTCAAAATCAGTTCAACATTACGTTGGGCAAGTCCCCAAATTTCAGGAAAAGTTAAAAAAAAAAACCAATTTAAACGGTCAAATTTCATTACCTTAAATTGCGTTTTTTTAACTTTTCCTGAAATTTGGGGACTTGCCCAACATAATGTTGAACTGATTTTGACCTTACTGAGATAATGTGGAGGCAAATCTAGGGGAAATTGGCTTATTTCGCGGGAGAATTGAGTGACCTTTGAATTGACGTATTTGGAGGTCCGAATCCCCCCTTAAAATTAGTTCGAAGTGATTTCTGCAATGTTTACAAAAAAGCGAACACAATTAGTAAATTTTCCCGTTTTATTTTTTTCTTTACGATAATTTGAACCGGAGTTGTGATTTTTTGAAAATAGGTCAAATTTGACCTTTGATCCTATCATAACTCGGTCAAAAATTAAGATATTGATCTGCGGTTTGCGCCAAAATTCTTAGTTTTTTATGGTCTTTCGAATGAGCTATCACAAGATAGGGGTTGCCATTTGAAAAAAAAAAGTTGGGGGCCCCCCGCCCCCTCCCTTAGGGGGGACCAAAATTTTGACTCCCCCAAAAGATGGTCCCCTTTGAGATAGGAACATTCGCAAAGTTTCATTTTTCTATCTCGAACCGTCCAAAAGTTAGCCGACCGTCCTGGAACTTCTGGCCCACCCTGTATACGTATACCATCCGCGTTCCGGGATCAGACTCTGGAAGTTCCGGGCGTAGCACCCGGAGCAATCGAAGCTACGGCTCCAGCACCCATAACTTTTGGCCTCTGAGCCCGGAACGTACGATATGTCTATGCAGCTCGTAAATTTCTAAAGAAATCTGCAATCGAATAGAAACCTAGGTCTGCACAAGAGCGCGCGGGGAAGGGAGGATTTGGGGACACGGCCGGATTAAGGGGGCGGCCACATAGGCCGCGGCCCATGGCGGCAAAATTAGGGGGCGGCAAATTTTGAAATTTTCTTAAATGCAGGTACAAAAAAATCGGATTCAGAAAAAAATTACGAACAAGAAAAGGTGACCAAATCTCTCATTTCCTAAAAGTTCATTAATTTCTAATGTTGGTGTATTTCGGTGATACAAAAGACTGCGCACCTTTAATTAGCTGAGTTGAGATAGAAACCAAACACGTAATTTGGCCTGGAGCGGCGCGGCGCAAAGATAAATGATGACGAGGACTTGAGATGAAAAGAAGAAGCCCTCGACGCGGCGGTCGGCATGTAACACATATTAGCGCCTACGAGACTGCATGAATACTTCACGCATGGCGTCGAACACAGTGCGGTCAACAGCGGTCGGCGCGGCGTGAAACGCACAGTGCCTACAAGACTACATGAATACTTCACGCATTGCGGCAAATACAGTGTGGTCAGCGCGGCACGGCGGCCGAAGTTAAAATTATTCAACCACATTTATGTTTGTTCTTTCTTAAGTTTTTAGTTCATTTCTTACAAATGAAAGGCCTTGTCCCCACAGAGATAGGTTCACGGAACTGAACTTTCGCACGAAGTTCCGTGAACTTTTGCTAGTATTGTTGACAGGGCTTACGCGAAAAATGTGTCCCACTCGAGTGAACGCGTCTCATGCACCCCTCTCCCTCTGGCACGTTCACTTGATGGTTTTTATTGATGTTTCAAAATGAATGAGAAGAGGGCGGCAAAATACAGGCGGCCCATGGGCGGCAAGTAGGTAAATCCGGCCATGTTTGGGGACACTCATTAGCGGCTTGCGGTTTGCGCACTTGCCTGCAATTAAGATATTTGCTTGGAAAATGGTATGTTCTTGAGACAACGGCACGCGTAGCATGAGAATATATGCCACAAATAGACATTAGTCGGAAAGCTTTACTCTCGCCGTCAGAAACATTGCCGTCATTTTTCTTTCAACCCATCGTCACATTCTTAAAGTCATTAATTTAACAAGGTATACACAGCATGCTAACTCATTCCTGTAGTTGAAGACACTGCGTTTTCGGTTAGAGCAAAAATAAACAAAAGTGACGCGAGAGTGAGATTTCGAGTGCTACATTCGATTCTAACTAAAATAAATCACTTTCATGCTGACCCGAGAGGAAGATAGATTTACTTTACTTTTCCTTCCGAAAGGAATTTTACGAGCGAGCGTAATGTACTTTCAGACCATAAAAAACGATCGATGAGCTGAATAAAAGTAAACCTGGGCTTTCGAACAGTGAAAAGAAGTTTTCACTGACATGAGATCAGAAGAGGTCCTGGACCACGAATAGCGGTGCGATACAAATATACTTGGCTCTACTCCATAAAATGTGTTCGATTGCGATGGAGAACTCTGCTCTAAAGACAGCAATTTCTTTGTAATCGGAAAATAATTGGGTCAGAGAAGCTCGCTAATTGTTACACAAACTGGACCGTTTGCAGTCAAAGCGGGAATAAATGACCTCGATAGAAAAATAGGTTCACAGCGAGCATTGACTTCTTCTGAGTATCGAAGTAAAGACACGCGCTTAAAGTTAGAAAAGTCAGCTAAATGAACATGAAACACGAACGAAAAAGGGTCGGATTCGTCCTTCTTGGAAACTCATTCTCGAGGCTCGACAGTCGAAGTTCCTACGTTCTGGTTTTTTTCATTTCCTTCGACAATCGGCATTTCCCCCTTTTCACTTCCGTGTTACCGGTCTAGGAAATTGTGTGACCATAATTTAAAATAAAATAATAAAAATTAGCAACGTGGCAAAAAGAAACACAGGTAAGTACTTGCGTTTTCAATGCGGAAAGGTACACACAGCATGATGAATTTGGAAAATGGAACTCATTGTGGTCTTGTGATTTTTCCGTTTGAAAAATAAGTTTGATGCGCGGGTCCAGAAAGTGATTTGCTTTCACTTAAATCAAGGTTACTTTCACAAAACTACCCATTTCGTGAAAATGCTTGAAGCGGAGGAAAAACCGCACTTTCACAAAAAATTAGCACCCTTGGCTGATTTCTTCGCTGAAATCAACGAATCAACGTGCTAGTTGGTCTCATTCACTACAATCAAGGCCGCTTCCTGCTTTCAGGAAAGACAGAAACTTTAGAAAATGAATTTGGGGGACAAAGACCCCCCTTCACTGCTTTCACAAAAAAATTCGCACCGTCGACTGCTTCCACAGTAATAGCGCGAAAGCGCGCTTCCAGCGCTACAGGAGTTTCTGGACCCCTGATTTGATACTGATCCGAGTTTTTGACGTTCTTTCAAACTCGGGTGGATTGATGGACTATCAACCTATGTCCTGCGTCTATAAACTTCGTTAAAATTAAAGCCTCGTTTTTTATATTTTACATTACCCTCTGCATTGACTTTTTACCCGAAGATTCAGCGAAAGACAAGAGAGAGGAGAAAGATATGCACCGAATTAAAAGGCAGGTTTAAATGTACCAGCTGAGTTTTTGGATAAACAAGTCCCCTTAGGTAAAGGTTGTGCAGCAGATGAATGAAGAAATCAACCGGCATCGAAACGGTTCGACGAACTTGAGTGAGGAGGGAGCCAAATAAATGAAAAAGTAATAAACATGGGTCAACAAATAATGGGAAATAATTAAACGATACACAGGAATGTGCGAACAGTCGCGGAAAGGAGGGGCCTCTGGAAAGCTGTGTTGCCGAGTTGCTACAATTGAAATGGCTGATTTTGGTATCGACTGCAGGCGAATAAAGTATATGATGATGTTGATACCATAGTCATAATGTAAGAGTATTTTTTCCTATGTTTCCTCTTTACTCCTCTCTCTTTCTGAGGTTATTTGACGGTTATCTACAAGTTTTTTTTGGCAATTACGTAAGTTTAGGTACGGATATCGTTGTTCACACTTTTATCAGAATTTGAGAGTCTTCGCATCTTCCTAATAATGTCGAAAAAATAAAGTCGATTACCAAAAAGTGGCATGTATCAATACTTTAAACTTATTACAACGATCATATTATTGGGTACACTGGGGAAAAAAACCACATTGGATCTAAAGTCCAGACTCTTAAAAACATCGACGAGAAAAAGTACTCTTGATTCAATCAGAATCTAGCTTAAACCAAGAACCATCAAGCCTCTTAATTTAAGCGGATTTCGTTTTGATTCAAGCTAAAATCCGATTGAATCAAGAGTATTTTTTCTTGTCAATGTTTTCAAGAGTCTGGACTCTATATCCAATGTGTTATTTTTTCCAGTGCACGAACGCGTATACTTTTTGATCGATGTGGAACACCGAATTTCAGCTTACGTGACAATTTTGACTCTCTCGCTCCCCTCGATTTTCTCAGTGCATGTTCTTCGGATCCATCAGATTCACCCATCAAAACACAATTCA